CACCCAGGAAGCTGGAGCCCATATCCAGCATGGGCAGCTCAAGTCACCTTCCCAGTCAGGAATGGGCTGGGGCAGGACAGCCAGGGCGACCAGGGGCAACGAGAGCACACTTCTGAGATCATTTCCCATGAGACGCGCTCCCTCTTCCTCACTATGACACCATGTCACAGCGGAAGCTCAGGCTCAGAGACATGAGTGACTTGCCCAGTGGTCCTGAGCTGTGGAGGGGAGGAGATGCCAGAGAGTGGCAAGGAAGGAAGGGGCTCCCTGGGGCCAGCCTGGGAGACTCTTGCGGCCCTGCATGCCCACCTGGGATGTCCCATGGGTCAGCAGAGCAGTGTGTGGAGGGCGGGGCCGGGGCGGGCGCGAAGATGTCTGCCAAGTCCAGGATGGAGGACTGTGGAGGGGAGAGGCAGCCATGGCTCAGAGGAGGGTGGGACCCAGAGGAAGGGTGGGCCCTGACCTGTCATTCTGACTCCAGTTCATGCTCTCTTCCATTCATTCCATAAACATCTAGTAATGATCCCTTACCTCTGCATAGTGCTTTCCAGTTTATAAAATGTTTCCTCATCCATTCAGGGCCTGATTTTCCTAACAACCCTGAGTAGTAGGGAGGGAAGGTGGTGGTGTGGTCATTTTACAGATGTGCCAGCTGAGGCCCAGAGAAAGGAAACAATTTGCCTGAAGTCAGCCAGGGAGAGGCAAACCTGGGCTAGAACCCAGGTCTGTCTGACCCCTTCCTAAGCGATCCTGCTTCTCAGCGCATCAGTGGGAAGGCAGATTTTACAACAAGCCTACCTCTGTAAGTCCGTGTCTAAGTGAAACTGGCTACCGCGAACATGGGCAGAAAGCAGACAGAGACACCCCAGGGGTAGCATGGACAGCTTTGGAGAGCGGCCTTTCTCCTAGAAGCTACCTGCTCCCCACTCTTGGAAAGCATACATATGAGCCCAGGATGTTTTCAGCACCATATGCCTGAGTCCACCCCCAGTCTTGATCCACAGCATCACATAATCCTAGCATGTCAGTGCGGGAACCATCCAACAAGCCCACTGTACAGATGAGGAAACTAAGGCCAAGACTGAAGTGCCCAACTCATAAAATCACAGCAAATCCAGAACCCAACCTAGGGGTCTTGGATCAGGATTCTTTGCATCCCACTTTGCCATCAGCTCTGTCACCAGCCCATGCAGTATGAGACCAGGACTGCTGCGCACCCACCCCCATTTTCATTGAATAAACATATAAGTAGTGCTAACTATATACCACGTACTGCTCTGTACTCTACAACTATGAACTCAGTTCATCTCCCAGGCTCTGCCTGCCCCTGCATCCCAGCCCCCTCCCTACCTGGCTGTTTTTCAGCTTCTCCTCCTTTCTCTCTTCTTTCTCGGGCTCTCTGTCCCGCCGACGGTGGACTGCAGCCCCAGCACCATTGGCCATGGGGGAATCATCTCCCCGCCAGGACCTCACCTCCTGCAGAAGGCACAGATGAGTAAAGAGAGCATGGGCAGCTCAGGTTGGACTTGAGGGGGCCTGAGCTGAGTCGAGAAGAGTGCAGGGTGGGAGGCGGCTAGGCGCAGCGGAACCACCAGGTGAAGCGGGAGGAGCCTGGTTAGTGCCCATTTAGCACCTCCACCAGCACCAGCACCAGCACCAGCATGGAGGCTCAGCCCACTACCTTCTCGTGCTCCTGCTGGCTCAGACGCAGAGCCAGCTGCAGCTGCAGGTCCTCATCCCTGTGGGAGGCTGGGGGGACCGGCTGCGAGGGAGGAAGAGAGGGGTGAACTTGGCCCAGCACTCCCACTCCTGAACGGGGAAAGAGGGATAGAGAAAGAAATGCCCATCCCAGACGGCAATGTGGGTGTGGCCTTCTCCCTTCCCAGATCCCAGACACAGTTCAAAAATCAAGATGGAGCGTTTTCTTCTGGGTTCCCCGAGTCTCCCCAAACCCTGCTATGGGAGGCCCAGCTGCTTTCTCTCTGGTCTGTCTGGATCCACAGAGGTGATGGCAGAGAGAGTGATAGCATAGGGGCTGTCCCTGCCCCCCAAAAGGATAGCTGAGGGGGGTGGTGAGGGTAGTGGCAGCATGTCTCTGTGTCTCCTAGGGATGTCTGTCAGCTCACTCACCCCTTCCCCTCCATTAGGTGGCAGCAGGCTCATATGACACTCATCTACCCCCAACCCTCTAACACACTCATCCTTTCCAGGCCCAGCCAGCCAGTATTGGAGACAGGGAGGTGGTCCCTGCTGGGACAATCCCAGAGACACAGACAGGCCCTGTGCTGTCCTTGGGAGCAGGACTAGAGCTTTAGGGGCCAGAGTAAGGGAGCCTAAGAGTCAGAGCGTGGTGTATCCAGGCACCTCTCTCTCCTCCAGTCCCCTCTCCCTGTCACCCCCCTCCCAGCTGTGGGGCCTCCGAGGCTGCCCCCAGAGGGGGACTCACCTTCTCAGCCTCCTCACGGCTCATGGCCAGGGCCAGCTGCAGCTGTAGCTCCTCTTCTCCAGAAGTCTGGGGCCGGGCCTGCTCTAGGTCTGAGGTGTAGCGGGGAGATGAGGAGGAAGCTGCAATGACCATTATGACTTCTGTAACCACACTGGTCCCCACAGGCTTTCACACCCCTAGCCCCTCCAGTAGGCCAAGGCTCAGAGTGGGAAACTGAGGGGAAGAGAACAACAGGCAGCTGCAGGCCCCAGGGGTCAGGCTGTGTGCTTGGCACTTTCTGTTAGGTTTTCCATTCCACCCCAATAAAGACTCCAATCCCTCCTTTACAGACTCGCAAACAGCTCTGAGGAAGGGGTGCCTAGCCAGAGTCCTACATCAAGACTTGAACCCAGGTCCCCTGACTCCAGCTCCTGCTTCTTCCAGCTGGGACCCCTTCAGCTTGGGGTTAAGTGGGGTGAGGGGGCAAGAGGCTCCAATCAATCAAGGTCACAGCTTTCACAGCCCATAGCACAGTCAAGGGCTTTATGAAAGGAAGACCATTCTGAGCATCCCTCAGATCAGGGAAGCCCTCACCAGGGTGGGGAAGAGAGTCAAGAACTGCTCACCGACTGCCCCCATTTTTAAAGACAGTGCCCTCAAGATGGGGGATTATGGGGAATGCCACTGATGGGGTACCACGTGTCATGTGTCTGGGCGCAGGGCCAAGGACATTCCTGGGCCTGATCGCATTGATTCTCACATCAAACAATCGAGGTAGATAAGATTATCCCTAGTTTATAGATGAGGAAACTGAAGTTCAGAGATGTCATTCTCTGGATCTCACAGTCTGAAAGGGGCAGAGTAAGGAATGCTACTGGACTCCAGAGCCTATGCTTCTACCACCACACCGTCCTACCTGACAGAGGATTTTCAATAATAACAAATGCATAATGATATTACTGTTGATGCTAACTTGTTGAGCACCTACTATGTGCAGGGCATTGTGCCTTTCACTTGACATTCCTTGTCTCACTGAATCCTCGTGACATCCCTCTGAGGTCACATCACAGAGCCAGGATTGGAACTCTGGCTACCTCCCAGTCCCCAGCCACACTCCCAGGGCTCACTCACAGTTGTATGAGGATGGGGAACCCTTCGAACGGCTGTAGTCCTCGCCATGGCGGCGGCTGAAGCCCAGCTGCCCGCTGCCCATGGCCATGCCCTCCAGTGCCATGCGCTCCTTGGTCTTGAGGGCATGGGTCCGCTCCTGCCGGAGTCGCTCCTCATCCTTGAGCAGGGCCATCACCTGCTTGACCTTCTCACGCACGTTGACGCCCTGGTCCTTGCCATCACGGTCGATGTACTGGAAGTCCTTGAGTGTCTGGATGGTGAAGAGGTTCTCGCGGCACTGGTGGGCCACCCGCTCTGAGCCCGTCTTGAGCAGGTAGTCCAGCAGTGTTAGTGCCTTGTACACATGCCTCCAATTCTTGCCGCTGTCATTGAGCCGCCGCCACAGCATGCCCATGACCTCAGCAAAGGCCACCGTGTTGAAGGTCAAGTCGGCAATCTCCGACATGAGAGAGCTGGGCGGGCCCCATGGGTCATTGCTGGTGGCCTCTCGCACCTTGATCTCTGCCTCAGAGTAGTTGTGCACGATGTTTTTCACCTGGCGCCGCAGCGCTGAGGTCGTCATGGCTGGGGACTTGGAGATGGGTGCCCCCCGCCCCAGCCGGAAGTGGAGGGCCGAGGGCCACCGTCTTCGACGCGAGGTCACGGTTTCCAAGGATGGGCCGCCGTGCTCTCAGCAAGGCGGCTGCGTCCTTGGGTTCCACATGGGTCTAAGGAAGAGAGGGTCTGGAACTCAGGGGCCATGGCCCACTTCACTGGCCACTTAGTCACCAACTTAAGGCCTGGCCAGGGTGTCCCCGCTGCCAGGGACAGCCTTCAGCAGGCACTTTATTATTTTTCTTATTTTGCTTATTATTCAGCGGGCACGTCTAGCTTTACTTGCTCATTTATCTTCATCATCACACTACAAAGATGTTATTATTATTATCTCCATTCACAGAGGGGAACGTGAGGTTTAGGGAAGGATTAAATGGTAAGTGGGGAGCCAGGATTAAGTCAGGCAGACAGAGTCCTTGCCTTAGTGAGGGACGTGACAGTGACCCCCAGGAATGCCTGCTTGCCTAGCTCCTGCCTGGCCACCTCCCCCATCTCCGCCAGGATCTAGCTTAAGATCTATCCTTTCCAACTTCTTGGTCCTCACTTTCTTCTCATATTGTTAATTTTGTATCTTGATTCATTCAATACCTGTTTTCTGGGGCTTTCTCTGAGCCAAGCACTATGGCAGCCACACGGCACAAGTCCTGGTACACCCGCGTCCAACTGAGAGGATACAGACAATCATAGCCCAGTGTGGGAGCACAGAGGAGCACAGGAGTACCCAAGCTAGGGAAATCAGGGGAGACTTCCCAGAGGAGGTGACGGCTGAGCTGAGACCAGAGACCTGAAGAGCAGAGAGAGGAGTGAACCAGTAAGCTGAGGAGGGGCAGAGCAGAGGGAAGACTGTGAGCTGAGCCAGGTGAGAGAGGAAAGAGCCCTGGCTCTCAAAGAAATCTAGCCAGCACCACCCTGGTTGCACACACAAGTACACCGAAAATAGAGAGGGGCTGTGGCCTGCCTACAGTCACATAGTGTGTAGGTGGCAGAGCTGGGACTAACACCTAGGTCCCCGGAAGACTAATCCAATACTTACTGTCAGTGTCACCAGTTTTGTAATAAATACATCTGATGGCTTTACTATCTCAGCCCCACCTTCTCAGCCAGAATGGAAGCTCCTTGTGGGCAGGGCCAGTCTGGGCTCCCCAAACCCACAAGGCCCGGGACACATGACAGACCACTGATTCCCCAGCTATGGGGGGGGGGGTTAGGGCCAGCCTGATGTCTTCCCCACAGCTGCAAGACCAGGCCATCTGCTGAAAGCAAACCTAGGTCCCAGACAGAGAAATTGTCTCCCAGGGCTCTACCAGAAACCCAAACTGGAGTCCCACTGCCATCACCATTCCTTTGGAATGGACACACACACACACACACACACACACACACACACACACACACACACGCATGCACGCACACGCACACATGCGCCTACGCTGGCTGGGCCTGTAGAACCTCCACTTCACCAATGAACCCCCACCAACACCAACACCAACAACACCCAGAGGCTGCACCTCTCAGCTCTACCCTGAGAACTCAGCAGGAGTCAGAAGAAATTTGTCCTACCCCCACCCGCCCTACAAATTTGACTCTCCCTGCACCCAGTTCTGTCCACACACAGGACTCAGTTCAAATGGGCTGGCCGTTTACTTTAGGGCCCAGGTGCCTGGGAGAGCTTCGCCCTGGGCTGGGGTCCTGTGAGAGGGATGGAGAGTGCTGGCTGAAAGCGCTGCCTACCTTGTCTGTTGTCTTTCCATCCAGCCAGTGGCAGGTCTTCTGTGGGGATGCCACAGCCAACAGTAGTTTAACTCCTGTCCTCCCCCTCACTAGTGACTCAGACCTGTCTTTACCTCTCTAACCGGTGGGCTGGAAGGTGGCAAGAGTCAAGATGAGAAATAATTGTGCCCCAAAGTCTGCCCCGAGTGCACACCCCTCCCAGTGCTGGCCACTGAAACCAGCAGAACCAGTCAGGCATCGTGACTCCAGCAGGAGCTCTACCTGGCCCTCCAGCCCGGCCTGGGATAGTGGGAGGGGCCCTCGGTGTGGGCCCTGCAGCCCTGCCTGGACTTTTCTCCTGGAAGGTGGGCATGGAAGAGCCTTCTCTGCATACCCCTGCCAGGGATGGGGGGAAGGGAGGGATCAGGAACACCTGAAATCTGAGGGGACAAGGTAGGGAGGAAGAGGGGGTAGGGTGAAGCCCAGGGAGCACAGAGGGGAGGGCGGAGGAAAGGAAGGAACGCAGGAGGGAGCGGCTGGGAGCGCTGCCAGCGGTGTTACAAGCAAAGGGTTTTATCGAACACAATATGCCCAGAAATAAAAGGGAGTGAAACAGAAACCCAGCAGCCGATAAGGCGGCAGTGGTGGCGGCAGCAGCAGCCCAGGCAGCCGGGTATGGAATTACTGCAGTGACCTTGAGCCAGACCCTGTCAGGTGGAGGGAAGGACACTGAGAAGGCAGGGCCCGAGAGGCCAGTTCAGAGATGGGGAGAGAGGGCAGGAGAGGCAGGAGGCTGGAGGGCACAGGGTTAGGGGGTGCAGGAGAATCTGCTGGGGGTGATGGGAGAAGGGCCAGTGGGGTGGGACAGGGGTGGGGAGGGTGGCATCAGCACTCTCCTATACATAGAGTCCCAAGGATAACTTTACAAAGGGGAGGCGGCTGCCCTTCTCAGGGTCCAGAGGACTGGGGGAACTGTAAGGACTAAGGAAGCAGATGGCATCCCCAGAGTGGGGGTTCAGGGAGATAGAAAGAGCCCAGACATGTCCAGTCACATGTATATTTGTCCAAAGTCTGTGCGTACCCCAGAAGCCCACTCCCCCTCCCACCCTCTGCTAAAGCAGCTGGGGGGGCCCTGCCCCCCATCAGGTCCAGCAGGAGCAGTGGGGGTGTGGCAGTGCCCTAACTTGCTGCTGGAGGAACAGGGGCGTGCACTCCGGCTCTAGGCTTCTGTCAGCCCTGAGGAATGGGGACACTGGAGCGGGGCAGGGGGCTGCCCTGAGACTAGAGGTGCGTCAGGGGCTGAGGAGAGGGGTCAGTAGAGATGAGCAGGAGTCTGTGGGGAATGCCACCAAAGATGCTAATCTCAGGATGGGGAGCAGCAGGGAGGGAGGGGCTGCAAGCAAGCGGGCACTGGAGGCAATAAGCCCACTCTACCACCCTGCCCTCCTCACCCCTCTCCCTGGAACCTGGGAAGGAGACTGAACCCCAAGCCTTCCATGCCAGTGTCAGCGCTGCCAGGGAGGGGCCCGCTTACCTCCGGTGCAGGCTCCCTTGGCCCCAGCCCCGGGACCACGAGCAGCCTCTGCAGTGACCCTCCGACCTGCGCGGCACGGGCACGGCACAGCTTCGGGAGCGCCCCCAGAGCCATCCACCACAGACTCTCGACTAGGAGACCCACCTTCCCCCAGGAGGCACAGACCCCTCAGAAGGGTGGCGGCAGGTCCCCAGAATGGGCTGCAGCTCTGCCTCTTGTCCGCCGCTCTCCTGGATGCCCAGCCAGCAGGCAGTACTCAGGAGGAAAGTTGCTCAGCTGGCCGGGCAGGTCTGCCTCAGCAGTAACAGGACACAGGAGGAAGCACAGGGCGTGTTAACCCCTTCCTGCTGGCTGGGCTGTCAGCACCCTCAGAGGTGGGAGGCTCGCTTGCAGGCTGTCCCCAGGAGGTGCAGATCCAGAGCTCGGTCCAAGAGTCTGTGCTGACAGCCCACTCCCACCCTGCAGTGAGTTAACCCTTCCCTTGCCTCCTCAACAGAAAACAGGACCAGAGGGCTCCAACACCCACCCCAACCCTCCCCCCACCTCTGAGCCAAGAGGACCATTCCCAGCGGCTGGCCCTTCTGTGAGCTCCCAGCTCCCCCTTCGCCACCCGGACAGGGGCATCAGGACTCCAGGCACAGCCCCCTCTGCCTCTCCAACACAATATGTTCTGCTCTCAGCAAACCTCCTCTTCCCCTGTCTCAACAGGGGAGGATGCTTGAGGCCCATGAGGTCCTTATCAGAAGCACCAAATGGGTGGGAGACTGTGGCTACTCCCCCAGTCTCCCACCCACATACCTCTGCTCCATCAGCACTTAAGGCAATAAGTCCACCATTGGCAAAGTTGATCTTCAAACTCTGGGAGGCTAGAGCCTACTCCACACAGGAAGCGTAACCCAGGATAATGATTACTGACAGAAAACAATTGTGGTACTGAGTTTGAGCTGACAGTACCTTTCTTTCCAAGATCCATCTTTTCCCCACTTCACATGTCTCTGAGCAAGGCAGGGAGCATAAAGTTGAGGCTGGTTTTAAGGCAGAAAAATGGCTGAAAGAGGTCAGATGGTTTGACATGAGGAGGGGGATGACAGGTAAGAATCCAAAATAATAACCTCTGGCCAAGGGCAAAGGTTTCCAGCCTCTAGGGGTTAACAGTGTGATGAGCATGATCCTCAGATATGGACAGGGCCCTTGGACTCAGCTGCAGTAGGAGGATCTCAGGGAGCCAGGTCCCATGGGGTCTAGTTCCCCTAGTCTCATACTTGGTCGTACTTAGTGATGACACTTGGAGAAGACCTGGCTCCAGGAAGCATGACGCTAAAAATGTGGGCCAAAGAGGGCCAGAGGCAGAAACTATGAGGGATGACGCTGTCTGTCCTGTCATCTGACTCATTCCTTGTCCTGTTACCAACTTGCTCTTCAGTTTATCATCCCACACATCAACTCTCCTCCTCCTGGATGACTTCAGGAACTGGGACAAGGTGTGTGGGGGATCTGAGGGCAGGTGGGACATGGGAGGACCTGAGCCATGAGCTGACCTCATCAAGAGCTGGCATTCAAGACAAAAGGCATGATGGAAATGGTAGGAACCTAAAGGTTCTTTATTGATTTGTTTGCTAACCGGTTGCCCAGAAAGCTTCTTAGGCACAGGAGTCAGGTGCAAAGACGCAAAGGTTCCTCAACATTCTTTATGGGACTGAGCTCATCAGCCAGGGCCATCAGGTCGGTCACCAGAGTGTCCAGCAGCCCATAGACCTGGAAGAAGGAACAAACATGACAGCTCTGTGGAAAGCACCTACACAAGGAAGCACCCACCGTGCTATAAAGGTGGACATCTCTGCACCAGAAAAACCGCTGGAGAAGGGATAAAACCAAAGTGGTGAGTTTCTGTAGAACTTTTGTTTTTGCAAATAGTCTGGGGAGGTAATCCTGCACTGGCCCCCCTAGGACACACGGGGAACATTAGAGCCTACCATGGTTGAAGGGGCAATTCCAGGGAGGCCAGGGAGCAGTGCTCATTTAGCCCCTTGGGGCAGCCAACTTTCCTTCCTGTAAGATCACAGATCCATGTACTGAAATGTCTCCAAGACTGTGACACCCTTTGTGGGGCTGGACCACGCAAGCCTCTGCAAGTTAAGTTTAATTTCAGAAAGCCAAGGAAGAGTCCACCGCATGGGTCCTCAGAGCCCTGTGATTGCTTTCTAGACTCCATTGGCCTTCAGAAATCTGTGATATCACCAGCGGCAAATGGAGCTTCTGATCAAATGAGTTTCAGAGTGTGACCACAATGCATGATGTAATCCCAGCTACCCAGCTGTCCACAACAGAGGAAGACAAAGCCTCCCCATTAGATTGATAAATCGAACGTGGCTTTGTGGACCCCACTCTAAAACAAACAGTGACAACAAAGAACCCAACGCAACACCTGGGTGACTTGCCTTAAGTCGGACCTACCGCTTAAGAATTCATCATTATGAAGTCTCTCCGGTGTTTCAAAGCCCTTACATTTGCTGGAAATCCACTCTAGATGGTGTTCCCCCAAGGGACGCATCTGCCAAGACTCATCTAACACCGACAGGAAGTGGGAGTGGCAGAAAGGGAAGGGCTTCTGCTCTGTTTCCCCACTAGTCTATTTTCAAGGCAGCCAGTGTGATCTTCTAAAGCATAAGTCTACCATGTCACTCCTCTATTCAAAACCCTGTATGACTTCTTGTTTCGCTCAGAAAAACCCTGAGTCCATGTGACTGGCCTACAAAGCCGCACATGAGCTGCTCCCTCTCAGTGGCCTCTCTGCTCTCTGTCCTCCTGGCTCCTCTCCACCCCGATATTAGCTGCTCCCTAGGGCTTGCTTCCTCAGAGGTCGACATGGCCATCCCTCACCTCTCTGCAAGTTTCTGTTTGATGTCACCTTCTTGATGAGGCTCACCTGCCCCCCCTTGGGCTTCCCTGACCCCCTGGCTCTGATCTCTCTCTTTTCCTTAGCGCTCATCACCTAATAAGATCTGTTACTTATTCACAAAGTCTGTCTTACACACTAGATGCCCTTCACAAGGGCAGCTCTGCTTCCATCAATGGATACAGTAAGTGCTTATCCTTTGTGGAATAAACGGAATGAATGAGGGAGAGGAGGAAGGTGCGCAGGGCAGGTGTGAGCCAGGAGAGGGCTGAGCGCCGGGCTCTTGCCTTCACCTCAATGTACAGCCTCTGGGTGTATTTCTCCATGACCAGGGGATCCATGGGTTCCTGAGAAGGGGTGGTGCTCTCAGGGGTAGGGTCTTCCAAGAAAAGCCTGTCCCGACTTAAAGATTTCATAGGTTTCCTGTCATCCTTTGCCTTGTGTTTCTTGCTGTTTAAACGGTCCTGCTTGGAGAGACGAGACAAGCGTAGCCTTCAATAGCTCCTGAGGAAGGTCCAGGACTTTCTTAAGAGCAGCTCACTGGGAGAGCTGGGGCATCGTGCTGGAGTGACCGCCCGCCTTCTGCAGCCACTCCGGCGCCCGAGCCCCACCCCCACCCCCAGCCCTGCCCCAGGCCAGACTATGTCCCAGTATACCTCTTTCCCTGACAGCCTGGCTCCTTTTTTATCTTCTTTGTCTTTGATTCCCAACTGCTTCTTTTCCTGGCTTGCCCCTTTCCGGTCCTCCTTCCCAGCTCTCCCAGAAGTCATCTTCACTTCCACGATAGAAGGTGATTTTCGATCTAAGGGAGGTGCATGGAAGACACTGTGGCCCTGTGGCCTACCTGACCCCACAAGGCAGGAGCTGGGAAAAGGAAAGTGCTTTGAGAGCATTCCCACAGACTGAGAGCAGAGTCCTGGTCCGGGCACATGACTTTGTGGGGCCTGTGGGGCAGGGGTCAGAGGCCTGGCTCTAGTCCTAGCTCGGCCACTCGTCTACATATGGCACAGACATGTCATTTAACCTCTCTGGGACTCCACCTGTAAAAATGAGGGGACCAAACTAAGGTGATCACTAAGGTCACGTCTAGGTCCCAAATCCTGGCAGCAGATAAAAGGAGCAGGGGCCTACTCCGTGGATCAGCCTAACGGAGGTGCCACCAGAATCGTGTGAACGGCTGGGGCGCCACTGCTATCTGGGCACAGGGACGGGGAAGACTGTGCGGAGGCGTGGCCGCACAGTGTCTGACCTTGCCCTTCTGGCATGTCCAAATAGATGGTGTCCTTCTCGGGAAGGCACAGCAGAGCCCTCAGCCACAGGGAATGGCTCACTAGGCTGTCAATCACATCCCGCCACAGCTGCAAACTGGAGGGCAAGACATAACAGAGAAAAGCCATCACCCCTCATTTGCCCTGGAACCTGCAGAGGCTTGGAGCCTTCCCTTCTAAGACACTGATGCCAAGGGCTGCCATGGAAATGCCATGCCCCTGTCCAGCCAGCATCCTCACCAGCACCTATGCAAGTGTTCAGATGAGAATCTGGCTTCCTTCGGGCAGCAGCCAAGAAAAAGTCACCCAGAGCTAGGGTTAAGATCAGTCTAAACTCCAGCTTGAAGCCATGGCTGGACCTTGCAAGAGATTTCCAGCATGAGGCTCCCCGGAATATGTTCTGAGGGCCTTGCCGAAACCTATCCCCCCTAAGCCTATCCAGGCGAGTTCCAAACAGTGATGGGAAGGGAAGGCTGACAACCGAGAAGTGAGGCTTTTCATGGAATATGCCCCTCTTCTCACCGCCCTCTGGTTTCTCTGTTAATTCCTCTGCTCATTGAGAAGGAACAAGGAAAGAGAAAGAGAACAAAAGGTCGAGGTGCTTACTCTGCTGTGACTGCTCCCCAGGGAACAGCAGGCAGCTGTCCGGGATGCTGTGGCAAGTGCCAACCATGGAATGTTTGCTGCATCTTTTAGCAACCCGAGCTCAGGGGGAGCTCAGCCCCCTTGAGTTCTGGGACTGCCTGCTCAGAACCCCTGGACAGATGTCACTAAGGGGAGAAGAGGGGGCCAGCTCTCCTGGTGGGGCACCTACCACATCTGGTACAGGAAGTCGGACTGCAATGGCCTCTGTTCCTGGCACAGCTCCAGCGCTGCTTTGTTGAGCCTGATTAGGGCATCTTCTCTCTGGTTCTCCTCAGGGAGTGTCATCACTGCCTGGATAGGTATCATGGGCAACCCTTCTGCCCAGGATGCCAAGGGTCCCTGTGTCCTCTAGTGATGGGCATGATGTGGTGAGGAGATAAAGCCATGGAGAGCCTGTCTGGGGTGCCTTCTGTGGGAGCCTGGGACCTCCCTCAGAAATGTGTATCCATGAACCCCTTTTCCAAGGTTTGCCATAGTCAGAGAGGGCGCTCCTCCCGCACTATAGAGGTCTAGGTGCCTGAAACAAAAAGAGGTGACCCAAGAGATAACTTTCTCTGGGCCCTCAGGTTTTATTTCTTTGCCCACGGAGGCAAGAGGCACTGCTGGGGCCCTCCCACCGGCTGTGCCAGGGCCATTCTCCCCAACTCCTTCAGGGTTAGAGAAGAACCTTTCTGAAGTCCTCCAAGCAGAGGTTCCACTTGGGCAGGGGACAGCCCTCCAGCTCCCAGGGGCTCTTGGCGTTCTCCAGGTCTGGGCTCCCCTCCACCAGGATCTCCTCCATGATGCTCTTTCCCCGAGAACTCCTGAGCCCCACTCTGGTCTTCTTGGACCTGAAAGAATCTTGGGAGTCCCTGAGGGAGTCCTGCTGGGGCAGCTGGGATTCCACGGCCGAAGACTCGATGTTCATGGACGTGTTCTCTAAATAGGCTGGCTGGGCCATAGCTGCCCGGGCCCAGGGGCTGAGGTGCTCCTCCTCACCTGGCCTAGCCGCCTCGGCCTTCGGGGGTAGGGTCACATACTGGTACCACAGTCTGTGCAGGCCTTGCACCACTTGGTGCTGGTAATGCAGCTGTAGCAGAGGCAAGGGAAACCACGTGATGGGGAGGCCAGGCATGGGGCACCCGGAGCCCGTGAGCCTGCTTAGGTGTCCATGTTCCCTCAAGAGCACTGATGACGGAGGCAGGGAGGGAGCCAGCAGGAGCGCTGTGGTCAGAGGGGATCCCCACTTCCCCTTCAACCTGAGCATCTCCAACTTAAAGCATTTTTTTGCATGTGGGCTGCCAAAGTAAGATTGGGTTTGAATGAAGGAGTTTGTGAAGCTCTGTTCTCACTTATGAGCTAAGTTATCTTGGGCAAATTATTTAACTTCCTGGGCCTCAGTTGCCCCCATGTAAAGTGAGGATATAAACAGTGCCCATTTCACAGAGCTGCTGTGAGGAGAAACTGAGGTACTCCTGGAAGACGCTCAGGACAGGTCCCGGCATTCTGGAGGGTTTGCTATTCCTTTCACCCAGGGCAGCGCAAGGGGCCAGAGCCAGTGCTGGGCCTGTACCTGAGGATTCCTGTGGTGGAACAAGTCCTCCTCCGTGAGATAGGTATCCACAGGTGACTGCACACGCTCTGGGGTCTGGATCCCCCCCAGCAGCTCCTGCAGCACGCTCTGCACAATGGTGACCGCTTCGTGGGAAGCCAGCTTGTTCTGGGAAAGAAAAGGTGGCACAAGACGGCAGCTCAGGCTTCCAAAACCCATGTGGCACCCTGGAGGGCAGCCAGATCCCTTGGGATTTTGTCCCTTTCTAGGGGTTGAGTTCTTGCCATTGACACACACACACACACACACACACACACACACACACACACACACACTCTTATTCCCAGACTCCAAACCTTCTGGGTCTCCCCAAACATCCTTGTTCCCTAAAGAAGCTGAAAGGATCCTGAAGAGGGGCCAGTTCAGTTCTAGAGAAGTTGCTCCCTCATGGGGCCAGGCGGTCACATAGTCAGCGTTTCCCACAGATTAGGAAGAAGGGGCAGGGCCAGGGGCCACACGGTTTGGGCCTTGCTGAGAATGTGATCTGGCCACAGGGTCAGTGTCACAGAAACAGGGGAGGGGCATCTCGAGAGAGAGAGGTTAGTCTTATAGTAGTGAGTAAAGCAGACATGGCATCTGTCAAAATTACCTCTGATCACTGCAAGTTGAGACCCACATAAAGTAGCTGGCTTGTGTTTGCGGACCACAGTGAATAAAAAAAGCACAGTTTTCACAGAATCCTACAAAGCCCAGCACCAGGTGGCTGGACTATGGACCTGTCCAGGGTGACAGATTCCCAGCTCCCGCCTCACACTCACTCCTGGGTGCCACCCCACTGGTGAAACTGTCCTCTCTGGTTCTGCCTGGTTTTGAAGTCTTGCCAGTTAAGTGTAACACTGCTGGATGGTACCAGACAGCAGTGAACAAATACAGTGCCAGGGAGCAGGGTCTTTCGCTGTGTGTACTCAAGTAAGTACTTCCGGGCAGTCTGCAGCTTAAGGCCCAGTCTCATTGCTTGCAGGGCGGTGGGAGCAATGCACGTGGAGCTCAAAGCTGCCCCTCCTCTTGGCCGCCCACCCATCGTTTGCATCACAAAGCCCCGAGGAGTGTTTATGAGCAAGAGTAGCTGGGAGAAATAAGATCCCTGCAGGCAGTGCCAAGAAGCACACCAGGTAACCTATCTGGTGTGTCCACAGGGGCCCAGGTCCTGGGGCTCTTACCTCCAGTAACTTCCTGTCATCCATAAAAATGTCCTGGGCCAAGGAGACTGCGTAGAGATTGACCTGCAGGACAGCACCTCCTAACAGGGTGGGGTGGGTTGCAAACTCCCAACATTCCCTGAAGATCCCAGCATTCAAAGACTTGAAGAAGAAGGTAAAGGTATTTGTTTCTCCAGGCAGGATCACACCTGAGAGGGACAGAGACAGAGGTTGTCACCAAGGAGGGGCTAGCTGAGCCCCAAGCCTGCATGTCAAGAGTTAACTGAGCCCCAGGTAGGGTGACCAGCCACCCTGGTTTGCTCAGGACTGAGGTGTTTCCTGGGATGTGGGACTTTCAGTCCTAAAACTAAGAAAGTCCCAGGCAAACAGGGACAGCTGGCCTCAGGCCTGTGCTTGTAGGTAACTGAACCCTTAGAACGTCTCTGCTCCCTGGTGTCTCACACTTCTCTGTGTTCTCAAGAGTTCCATCCACCCTTTCTCCCACACACATGAATAGTTAGGAGATGACACACATCACAGAAGAAACGGGGTGGGGGGATGAGGCGGGGAAGAGGCGCTCAGACTTGCAGGAGCTGGGCATTAGTGAGACTTAGGCTTCTCAGACATCAAGGACGGAGCCGGTGAGTAGGGCCCCTTCTCCTAGGTACCTGCCCGATTGTTAAAGTAGAACCGCTGCATCCTGTATCTCTTTAGGTCTTGGAAAGAGTCCGGCTGGGACGGCCTCCGCCAGTCATACCAAATGGCTGCAGTGCCGTTATTGACTACCGTCAGTTCTGAAGATGTTTTCTGCCCTTCTAGAGTTTCAAAGGTCAGGCGGACAGCAATTCCAACTTGCTTCTGGGGAGGGAGGCGGTATGAGACATGTCTTTGAGGGAGGCCCTGGCCTCAGGTGACCAACTGATCCTGGTTTACCTGGGACTTTTCCGGGTTTGGGACTGAAAGTCCCGTGTCCCAGGCCTCTCGGGCCTGGCCCCTCTCAGACAGAGTGGTGTCAGACCCCGATAGTGGCTGTCTCGGAGGTGTCATCAACAGTAAGAGGAGGAGATAAAACTGATTTTATATCTGATGAACACTTCTGCTCCTTAGCACCTGAAGGATATTTTAGAACCTTCTTCAAGCCACACCTGTTTGAGAAGGTTTGCTTGATTTACATGATTGGGGTTAGGTACAAACTGGGTGGCTTGTGACCTCTTTTCAGTCTTGTGATTTTATTCTGGCTGAAGTTAGCATTGCTGTTCCCATTTTCAGGCATACTAAATGCATGACCAGATACAAATGCGAGTAGGGGACTGCAGGTTCCCTGTGACCACCGCAGTCACCTTAGGACCGCACCCGAGGGGGGTCCTGTCCAGCAGGTGGGTGAAGGTGAAGGCAGGTTTACCTTGTCCTGTGGGTTACTGCTTCTGATCCAGCAAGCTGGCTTCCCGCAGAATAGAAGAGAAGGGCCGAGCACAGGCATGGGGACCATATCAGGGTAACTGGCCAATAAGTCTCTGCAAGAACAACCAATGACATATTTTCCCTGAGGCTGCCACAGTCTTGCCACATGCAGTCTGCAGAAATGGTTGCCCACAAGTCTGGAGAGGTGCCCGGCTCTGCCCTCCAAAGGAGTATCATCAGCTCCACTTGAGCTCAGCTGTGTCCTGCTCCGTTCCTGTAGGTGGGAGGGTCTTGAACAGACAGGGACTCTTCTTGCTGGCCACTCAGTGTGCACAGCCCTGGGAGAGTCTGGAGGAGCCCCACTTACCAGCAAAGGAATGTCTGGGAAATCCCCGTTAGGAGCTGGTTGTTGGGAGGGAACAGATGGCCATGGAGAAGTTGGCACAGGTGTGGGAGTGGGCTAGAGGAGTGGGTGGCAGCCACTAGCAAGAAGCTGGGATGGGGGCATCCTGATTTCAGGAAGGGAAGCCTGCCCTTCCATACTGTGGGTGCTGGGGGAAGCCGTACTCTCCAACCTCTCTCCTTAGGGCCCAGGCCCAACTCACAAGCTCACTGTGTCTTCAGAGGAACTTTTCTGGCTCTCTTCAATCACTGAAAACTCTTCCACTGAAACAGTCGAGAAAGGCTGCCCGCTGCCCACCACCTCCAGGCCATCAATATCCTCAGAGAAACCAAGAAAGGAAAGATTAGCCTAAGATAGCCGCCACCTGAAGGGGGTTCAGACTGGGCACGGCGGCATTACCAACCTGCTGGCTAAAATCCAGCTCTGCCATGATGCTCTGCAGCTCCTTGCGTCGGTAAATCAGAAACAGACTCCGATCCCAGGTGTAGCGGTACCAAGCATCCTTCTGGGCCAGCAATCCTAGAGCAGCGTCCAAGGACCCTCAGCACAGGCTGCTGCCATGCCCCCTTTCTCACTCACTCTAAATGGCTCTGAACACACCCATCCCAGCACTGTTCCTGGGAAAAGGGAAAACACAGCTTCCCTGTGCAGCTGGGCTCCAGTCCTCACACCCCATACCTACCGCTTCAGCAACGCTATACAGGACTCCTGCAAAATTAGCTTCCAAACGATCAAATCTTTGGATTATAATAAAAATGATAGCAGCTACCTTTTAATGAGAGTTTCATAATGGGCCAGAGACATCATGTCTCATTTAACCCTCTCACAAACCCATCAGTATTTTACAGATGGGGACACTGAGGGCCAGAGAGGTCAATTAACTCGCTCAAGTTCACAAACCCAACAGAGCTGGGATCTAAACCCAGGCAGCCTGGCAGGGTTTAAAGCAGTACTGCCCAATAGAAATATCATGCTAACCACAAATGCCAGGCATGTATGTAATTTAAAATTGTCTAGATGGTTTAAAAAGGTAAAAAGAAACAAGTGGAATTAACTTTAGTAATATAGTTTAACTCACTATATCAAAAATGTTATTTCAACAGGTAATCAATATAAAAATCAGAATACATTTTTTCATATGAATCTTCGAAACCCAGTGTGTGATTTACACCTACAGCACATCTCAATTCAGACTAGCCACGTTCCAGGTGCTCAATAGCCACAGTGGCTCGTAGCTGCCGCACTGAACAGCCCAGCCCTAGAGCCTCCGCTCCCACCTGCTTCTGCCACCTCTTCTATCACTGTCTTACTGAAGAGGGAACTGGACCTCCACAGGGTTATGTGACTTGATCCCAGGTTGGCCTCATACCAGGGCCATGCTGTCCCACCTCCTAGGCCCGTCACAAGCTGCCTTACTCCTCACCCATCTCCGCCTGAACGGAGTGTGGCTTCCTGATGTGTGTGATTGGTTCCAGGAGGCCACGCTGCGCTTTTGTCTTCGTCATTACCAGACCCGTCATTTCATCTCCCAAGTATTCCAGTCGACTCCAGAACCCACTGGTCTCATCACAGCACTAGCAAGGAAGGGCAGATGAGTCAGGTCACCTGGACACCTTGGAGAGAGGCTGGGGGGTGCCTGGGAGACAAGAGCATCCACAGACTACAGATGCTTGCTCTGGGGGATTCACTGCTGCCACGAGAGGAGAGAAGCATCCACCTTGTTTTCAGGATGCCCTGTTGTATAGCCTTTACCTGGCCCCAGACAGACAGTGTGGGTGATACAGGTACTGCACTGACATTCAAGACACAGCATGGTACCCTCGGTCTTCCATAAGCTGGAGCCTCAGCTTTTAGGAGAGAACATTAAGACTATTCTAATAACCCAGTACCTGTGCTATCTTTCTCCTCAAATCGACTACCAGTGACCTCCACAGGCTGGATGACTTAACTGGCCAGTCCCTACACACCCAATAATAGGACCAATAATATAATTTGTAAAGGCCTCGAGGGCTCAACAGTGCTTTGCAATGGATAGATATGTCCCCAGCTGTGCAAACAGGCAGCCATCCCTGTGTCCAGACCCCCGCCTCACAGGGACTTGGGAGCGCGGTCCTTACCTTCCCATCATGCTGCGTTGGAAGCGCTCGGTCAATGAGCTCCCGCTCTTCCTGGGTCTGTCTGTAGGTCTCCCCTATATGCATCAGCAACTCACCAACAGGCTTCTTCAGGCGGTCTAGAGAGGGAGCCAAGAATGCAGCCCCTCCACCAAATCAGAACAAACAGGGGCACAGCACTTGGCACAGCTCAGCCCCATCACTGGGCTGACTTCAGGACCCACTAAGAGCGAGAAGCACTGGGAAATGAAAGGCACAAACGTGCTCAGCCTGAATCTAGGCTCTGGACAGGTGGAGGGAGAGAAAACGCACCGCAGCAGAGCCCAGATGCCAGATGAAGCCAGGTGGGAGGGAGCCCACTCCACTCAGCTCACCACTGAGGGCTTCCTGCTGCCTCTTTCGCAGGGCTACATGGCGCTGCCAGTTTTTCAGAAAGTTGTGCTGGGGAGGTGGGGCCCAGGGATGTGCCTTCTCTTCTTCTGGGGCTGTCTGCTTCTGCTCTTCTGTAGCTGAGATGAGGGTCATCAGACAGGAAGGAGTGTGTATCAGCTCAGCCAGCTGAAAAGTACAACGTGAGTGTGTGCAGGGTGGTGACAAGGCTTAGCTAAACTGGGGCTGAGCAGAAACTTGTCCAGGCCTAAATCCCTGCAGTCCTCCCCCTCTGCTAAGGATCCTTCCTACTCAGGACCCTAAGGTAGCGAATGACAGAAAAATCACAGAACCAGGGGGCCTTGGAAACTGGTCAGTTCCCTCTCTTCCAGAATGGGGACCTCTGTTCTAAGATTGTGGTCAAAATCTTTCCATATCTCTGTCCTCCGGACACAGCTGGATGTTAATTGACACCTTCACTGGCAGGGTAACCGAGGAATTTTTATATGACCCCATGCCTCTTAGCACCTGACCAATCAGAGATTCTTTGCCTGGAATGAGAGAAGCAAAGAACTGAGAGACAGAGAGCAGCACTGCATGATGGGAAAGTTGGTAAGATGGGCCGACCCTACATGTGGCCCTGGAAGCTGTGGGAAGCCAGCTTCCTCCAGCATATGGACCGGGCACGAGAGCAGGCCAGTCTTTGGAGATGGGAACATGTAGCCGGTGCACAGAGGAGCAGACGCCAATGAGGGAGCACGGGCCCGGAGCCCTGATGCCTTTCTCGGTTCAGTCTAACCAAACTAGACACATTCTCGCCTTTGGATTCCTCGAGGCACCTCTCTATCCTTATAGTGACTGCTTGACTTCAGCTGAAGCTAGCTTAAATTGGCTTCACTATTTCCAGGGGAGGGTCCCATATCACTTCAGACTCCGGGGCCCAGAGACTGGACTGTCTTTTTAACCCCAGGCCTGCTTGACTCTGCCAGGTGTGATACCGAAACGACTTCAGTGACTTTTCTTGTCCAGGCAGCTCTGTACAAACAAACCTGGGTGTTCCCTCGAGCAACTGCAATTCTCTTAAAGTCCTGGAGACTCCCCAAGATGTGGTGGGGAAGGATCTGGTCACTGCCATGGAAACTGTCACCTGGACCTGGGGGAAGGGAGGAAGGGGAAAGACAAACTGTAGCTAGCTGGTATAAACAATTCAAGGGGGCTACTTTCTGATGGAGACACGGCTTTCTTTCAAGGCTGACTCATGAATTCAGAGACCAACAATGCCAGGGTCAATGCTGGGCATACCGGAGTAATCCAGGGGCTTTGTGGCTGCATCTGGAATAGCAGGATGGGCTACGAAGTGGCAGACCTTCCTCCTAGGATCCCTGGGTTTGGGTTTACGGATGATAAATTTCTGGGTAATGGCATGCTTATCTTCTGTTTCAATAAAGCGAGGAATGTGTTGCTAAAAAGAAACAAAACAGAGGAGAATTCCACTTGAGATCAGGAAAAATACCACCCATCTCCTCTGTCCTTATTCTTCGTGGAATTCCTAAAGGCTGACAAATCTGTTTCTGCAGCTCTGCCCGTATGTTCTGTGGAGGAAATGCCTGTGCAACAGACAAGAGACTTAATAATGTCCTGGAGGGAAAAAAGAATAGCATCCTAAACCTCCAGACAGTTGATGTGAGAAGTGGCTGACTCTTCCAGGTAAAGCATGGGGTTAGGGTTTATCAGCTTTGTCCACATTTGTAACTTTGCTTCTTAAACTTGTTTTCCCCTCTGTGAAATGGGGAGGATGGCTCTTGCCTCCACGGGAAGCAAGATACCTCATCATCTCATTCCCCTGTGGTTCTACACGAGTCTCAGAAATTTTGAAACAAACAGTAAATTCCTTTAGATGCGAAAGTGAAAAGAATTTGTGTTCCATGGATTTTTCCATGGAATTAGACACTCCCTATGAGTAGGGAAGTGGTAGAGATGGTGGATGCGGTTGATATTCTAGACCATATAAGCTGGTAGGGTAAAGTTCCTGCAGGAAGGGATCCCTGGATTTCATCCTTACCATCTTCAAGTCTTCCTTCTTAATGGCTAATGCAAGAATGTCATCTCCTTGTAGGACATTGCTAACAGGCTCAGGTTCTTCCTGAATGGGGGGTGTGAGCTGTTCAGGTACCTTTGCCCGCTTTTTTTCTGAAAAGAAGCAGAAGATAACAAGTGCTTAAAAATAGATATATATTAGATTCCAAGGTGGGGGGCACAGCTGGCCACATGGACAGACAGCGGCGGTTGCCAAGGTGACCTGGGCGGCCCTTCACTGGGACGACGGGAGTTCTCTCTTGAAGGCCCCCCTACCCATTGCCCTTGGCCTGCCACAGTGACTGAAGCTTCTATAGCTTCATATAGGGTATTGAGATCAGACGTTCCATTCCGGGCTGTGCTACTTCTGAGCTGGACAGCCTTGGGTACATCACTTTACCTCTCTTGGCCGCAGTCTCCCCTTTTGTAAAAAGAGGACGCTGTACTAAATCAGTAGTTCCCAAATATTAGTCAAATGTCTGCCTCGGAATGTTCTGGGCAGTTTTACAAATACAGCTTCTTGGCTCCTGTGTGGAGTCGGGGTCTGGGAAGCTGTATGTTTTAAAACTCCCTAGGCGGTTCTGATGTATCCTGGTTTGGGACAACTGGACTAAGCGCTTTCTCAGCCTCCTATATTGCTTGCACTGATCCATTCTTCTGGGTGAAGGCATCATGCTTTTTAAGACACTGGTTAAAATATAGATGCTCTGAGGGAGGAAGCACAACATTCACAACTGACCATTTGTTTCATGTTCTTTCATTCAATAAATACTGTGCCAGGTACTGTGCTTGGCTCTGGGGATATAAGACCTCTAGAGATTCGGGCTTCAAAGAGATACACCCATGGGAGACAAGGCTGTCAGGCTGAACTAGGGGAACCTTGGGAGCAGCAGGGGGCCCTACGCAGCTCAGTGCATGAGGTAGTCAGGGAAGGCTTCCTAAGGAGGTGATGTTTAAACTGAGAGCTGAAAGAGAACACTGACAAGGGAAAGGGCTTGGGGAATGGGCATTCCGAAGAGACTAGCGTGAAGAGGCCTAGAGGCAACAGAGAATGGCACACTCTCCTGGAACTCAAAGTATGTGCTTTTAAAATAGTTGGGGTGTAGCGAGGTGGGAGGTAGGAAGCACTGCCTGGAGAGGGAAGTAGCAGTCGTATCACGAAGGGCTTAGTGAGCCGCGTAAAGGATTTCGGTCTTCATGCCGTGGGCCATCACACAGCAAAGACTGCATAAGGGCTTGCGAGACTGAGGACAAGAATATTTAGGAGTCGACTGCAGTAATGAAGTGGTTGACAATGATGGTGGCTCATGGGACTGGAGAGAAGTAGAGAGATCTGAGCCTATTTCTCTCATGTGCCATACCAGAGCATGGCATCGAGAACTCATGGGGCAGAAGCGAGTTCTTCTCCAATGAGGACACACTCCCTGCCTTCCTTCCAGAGATGGGTTAACAGTTTTAAATGCATCTCATTTCTCTGGCTGGTATCCTCCTGCCTGCTGCCCTCTGGTTTAGAATGGTTTGATGTAAGGCCCTACAGAAAATAATCAAAAGAAAACCTGAGTCCTGACTTCAAGGACTTTAAAACAGGACTTGGTTTTGTCCACTGCTTCTCATAGGACTCTAATTTTTCAGAAGTAATATCACCAAAATATCAAAGCAGGTGTTTTGGTTACTAAAATCAAACTTTTTTTTTTTTAGGAAATGCCCACATAGTTGGTGGCAAAAAAAACCCCAAAAACCCAAGCCAGAATCATTCCAAACATAACTCTAAATTCCGCCTATGGGCCAGAGTCCATCTACTCAGCAGTGGGGTCAGCTAAGCGGCATGGCTCTGGTCCCATCCACTGCCATGCATGACCACGCAGCCTTAGGTTTTGATTTCTACTTCCCCTCTCCCTTCTACAGTCGCCAAAGCTGGTGGCAGCCCAAGAGAGAATTGGTACCAGCTGAAGTTGTGCTTTTATAAATATTTTTTGTATTTCTATTTTCCAGGACATCTGTTTCCTCTGTCCATCACCTTGGCTGCCTCTACATCTTCCCTATGCTTTTTACTGGTGGGCGTATAATTACCATGTGTGAATTCATAAACCTTCAACATTGTTCAAGATTTCTAAAACAGTCAGTGAAACTCTGGCTTGAGGTTTTTCTGAGGTTATCGTAATATACAGTCAGGGAATGGTGTATTCTAGTGAATAAGATATTCACAAAAATGATATGTACATTTTAAACTTCAATTCACCCTGCAGAATATTTACCAAGCACTTTGTGTGTGTTATAAAACTACAGAGGTTAAGATATGACTCCTTAACCTATAAAAGGCTAAGATATGGCGCCTTCTGAAGAAATGAAAAATGCAGCGGATAGTGACACACACCGATCCTAACATAAAGGCCTAAAATTAATGGCACAGGCAATAGGTTTGGTTACACATCAAGGCAGGAACAGATGGCGGTAGATCATACAGTTTAAGGCTCTAACCAAAGGTTCAGAAGAGCAGCTGCAGGGGTCAGAGGCAGCTTCACTGGCTAAGTTAGGCCTTGAAGTACAGGGAGGCTTAGCACAGGAGGAGCCACAGAGGTGTTTCAGGTGGGTTCACAGTCGGAACAAAGGTGGAGGCAGGACTGAGCGTGGCATACGTGAGGCATGGCTTGTTGGGGGAGGTGGGGGTGATACTGGAGATGAGACGAAAACCAAGGCTTTGTAAAGCTGAAGCATCTGATCTTCCTTTGTCAGCAGGAAGGAGGTTTGGCCCAGGAGAGTGAAATGAAAGCAGTATTTTAGAGTGATTTATCCAGTGAGGGTGAGTCAGGTAGACTGGAGGGGCAGAGGCAAGTTGGGGAGACCGGGGAGGAAGGATAATCCCACAGGGGTCACTTCAGGACCTGTGGGAAGACTCTGCTGGGTCAGGGTGTCTCACAACTGAACCTGTAGAGGCTCAGTTACTTCCTGTTCATTGGTCTGGAAACTCAAGCTAAGTGGGGCTCCTGGTGAGCCACACAGCTGGCATTTCTCCCTTGACCCTGACAGCTTTGAGGGGGGTCAGAGGTCAGCCCTCTTGTACTGTGACACCTCTGCTGGAGCTAGGCCAGGTGGCCAGAGGCAAGGTGTTCAAACAGGGTGGGGGAGAGGGTACAGCTATAGAGGAAGAAGAAGCCTGGACTCTATAGTTTTCTGTTTCTTGGTTTATCTAAATGTTATTCTTTTTCGGGTTGATTAAAGTCTTCAGAAAATTCTGACCTCAGGGTTGCTGTTGGGGGAACCCAGGGAGGGGCTGTCTCTACCAGGGCTGAGTTTTACTTGATGGGGGAAGGGCATCTGGTACCGCTGGGAGTCCCCCGCACCCCATTTTCTTAGCAACAAGACCTGGGAATCAAAAGGGCTAGGATCTCTAAACAGGTTAGTCACAATATTTGCTTGCCTTTTTGTTTATAATTCAGAGACCTTGGAGAAACACAGCACAAGATTACAAGATTAGTTGATTAGCTGTATTACAGTGGGGAGGGGGAAGTTGTACCCTACTACATTAGAGACTTCCCCTGAGATACTTAGGGGGGTATCCTGCATGCTAAACTAAACACTATGGTTTTTTCCTCCTCACCCTGATGCACATTACCTCAAGGGCTATTTAATAAACTCAATTTCCTCTTATTAATCATAAATATGCAGTGAAAAAAATTTTTTCCTGAATTTATTAAAACCTGATAAGATCTACAGAAACTAGGCAAGCAATGGCTAGGAAAGCCCTTGACTGCCCTTGGGAAAAGAAACCAGCTATTCTTCTCTCTTAACTGTTTAAAACTGTATCATGAAACAGCATCTCAATGCAGCCTAAATCTGACTTCCCTACCATAAAGAAGCATTAAAGAAAGCCATACTGAAAAGAGGCTAAGCTCCTGTTAGTTTAGCTCCAGGCCCCTCTCCTCACACTGCTGGGTCTCCACAGGGCCTGCAAGGGCCCGCCCAGACTATCTGACCTCTCAGGAAAGCCCTTTCCTGGAAAGCCCCCGTCCACCTATGCAGGTCCCTCTGGCTCCCTTCCCTCTCCTCCACCCCCACCACCTCTGTCACCAAGGTCATACTCGGTCACAGTTACAGGCCTCAGCTCATGCTGCTCCCTGGACCTGGAAAAGCAAACCGCTCCCCCAAACCACCACAATTTTTTTCTGACAGGCCACAGATGTCACCTTCTTCAGAAAACCCTCCCCCTTAAATTTGCCATCCAAGGCCTGGGTCAGGTGCTCTGA